ATATGGTACATGAGCACATACGCACTGAGAGAATGTATGCTCGTTGGAATGGATGACGGGAGACTGCATAAGATCGTCAGAGTCGGAGACTTTGTCGTCAAGCTCAGGACGAGTGTTGATACTAGTCTTCTCAGAATAATCTGACTTGAATAGTGAACCGAGCTGCGAGAAATGTAAGTGGGCAGTCCGTTCAATAGCTGGCATTGGGGTACTTACGCTATCTGGTTCAGAGGTAGCAGTGCTTTCAGGAAGTCGGGGCTTCGTTGTGGCAGGAGAGCGTTTACCCATGCGACCGCTTGTCGCAAACCAGCCATCACCATCTATCGATTTATCTGGAACACTATGATCGCTGAGATATCCTACATAAGGTTTGTTTGTCTTACTCTGCGATGGAGGGTGTCCTCCGAGTGTGGACTCTCGTTCTTTGTGTGTAGAGCTGATTCCTGCAGCGGATCCGACTCTTCTGGACCTGGATGAAGGTATGGTCCCGGATCGGGGACTAGTTGTGTGCCTATATGACATATTATGCAACACGTCAAGGGAGATTGAAACGAAATCACCTTCTTGCCATGGTTCTCCCGCGACTGCAGGAGGCCAGTCAGTAACGCCATAAGACTGGACAATCACAAGCACATACAGACAGTCAGCGAACTCTTTGTTGTTCAAGTTTACTCCCATAGCGGGCGTCTCCCTTGATGACTTCCTAGGTATAATCATACATATGCTCGAACTGTTACAGCGTGTTAGGGAGCTACCTTCTTTCAACATTGTACCTGTCAGGGTTGCGTAAAGCAGGCTCTGTGTCCAGTGCAGAGCGTTGCAAAATAGCTTTAGATGACATGGTCGGGCGAGAGTGTGGCTAGGTTTGAGAATGAGGTATGAGGATGAGTGGATCTTAGTTCAATCGGATTCGGAATTTATGATCAACACGGCAGGCAGCCTCTTACACCTATATAGATACCACAGGGAGTGACAGCATTGCGTACCAAATGTGCCGGTACCTGGTGACTTTGTCTCGAGAAAGTCTTACGCGCATGACGTGATGAAAGCTGCGTTCACAAGGAATAGATACTCAGCAATACATATGAGCAACGTCATTGAAGCGTTCATGTTGCACTAGTATGTCACCTGCGGCTTCGAACTCCACAGTGAGGACGAGCGCCTCAAGATCATGCTGCGAGTTATGCAGACACATGTGTATGGCCGTGGCCACAGCCTTTCAAAGTCCAAATTATGGGTGAACTGGCATATAGGAGTACCCATGAAACAATGACGCTGCTGCATACCGTCCGAACCAAGCATATCGAGAGCGAGAAGGTGGGACTAGACGGGCCAATTTATATGTCATATGATATACCGTAGTCGTCATTCACGGAGAGTAGGGTAAAGCAGATCTGATCGCATGCAGTTTATGGGTAGTGCTAGCATACGCCTTGATAGTCTTACATAGATCACAGATACCAATCATCTGGACACGGGTCAGGATAGAAAAAGGTGCTAAGACCTGTCACTGACTCTACCGCTTCACTAGCATGCTGAAGAGTACTAACCTATCCCCAAGTAATTGGAGGTTCCCATCAAAAGATAAGACAACCGATCAAACTAGTAACTCGGGTACAAGTGAAGTAGGGTAAGAACCAATATAAGCGAACAGCTCAATCAACCGAACAAAACACTTGTCCTGGGTGCACAGTTGAGTTCACTACCACACTTGCAGTACAGCATCTGATCAAGGATATCAGGTGGGATTCATCAAACCCTTCTACTTGCCCTTGTATCTCTCCCTCAAGCTCTCTGTCAACATGTTAAGCGGTAAAGTTGTCTCAATGAAAACCAAGTTGAGCTCAGACTTGTCTGGAAGGTCACAGTACCAGTAGATGCCTTCTTCATGAATGTTGTCACATGGAGGAGTTGCCATGCACCTGTAAACACAACATGCTCTACAGCTTGAGTTGTTCGTACAGTGCTTGATGGGACTAGCACCATTAACCTCTCCCATGCAGTTCCAGAAATCCAAGATTTGTGGGTACTCAACATGCTGTCTTTTCTCATACTTGTTTCAGGTAGACATACCACCAAGTGCTGTCTTTCAGGACTCATAACCCTTGACTGATGCTATAGGCAATTCGGTCTTTCAGTCGAGCTTAATGGAGCAATGTGAATTATTTGACACAATCTTCTACAGTAATATCAATTTGCATGATTATGAGGAAGCTGACAAGAGAGTATAGTTGGAAGAACCATTTATGTCAGCCCCTGGCCTATCACAAGCAACTAGACCCATTTGATGCCTCCTGTATTATTACGATGGCATATTTCACAATATTGATTTGTGTGTACTGATATGTAACCAACAGCATAGCCCTTCATAGACTGCCATGAATAAGGCAGCAAACAACTGCCTTTCTACCAAGGTAGGAGAAGCACCAGCAGAACCATGCTGTGGGCAAGCAGATCAAATAAGATTGGAGTAAATTCTGTCCAAGCCTACAGCAGACATGATTCATCTGAACAGAAAGGTG